ACGGCGAATGCCTTTTGGGCCGATTTCTCATGGTGTAGTGAGAAGGACAAGTTTGAGGAGACCCAGATGCCCAAATCCTTTTTGGCATCTATCCTCATGATGTTTTCTGGTCCCTTTTCACCATGCATAACAAAGGCATTCGCTGAATCCCCTCCAAACGACATATGGACGCACTTTTCATCATTCAGAGGAAGGTGCCAGTCCAACGACCATTACTTGGCAGCGTCTACATCCATTTGGAGGGCACTGGCATTGGAACTCCAGGATTTCATGTCGTCCGCAAAAAGTAAACATGGACTCGGAAGAACGTCTGGGAGGTCGTTGACGTAGATCAGAAACAGGTTGGCTGGGGATATGTTGACAAGGCATAGGGCAAGCCGAACATCGTTTACGGAATTGAACCTGTGAAAGCCGCAAGCCGAAAACGCGGCTGAAAACCAGGCAGGTCAAATTTGAGCGAAAATTCATCGGGTACGAATGAACTCGTCTCAGAGATGGTTGGGCCAAATGAAAAATTTGCTCGTAGTTGCAATTGGAGGCCCGAGTGGGCGAGGGGTTGCGGTCGAGCTTCTGAAGAAAATATTTGTGGGAGTGCCATCTCAGTGGGTATGGCAGTGCCATGCCATTATTGCACTGGCAAGCCTCGGTTTATGGACAGCCTCATAACGGCCGTCAGGGGTGCCGCGATCGGAAAAGCGATACGCATTTCCGTGGCAGCTGGACCTGGGTTAGACGAAGAAGCTGACACAGAGGGTCAGGTAGATACGGAGCCACGGATCATTTTCCTTTTTTGGAGGACCGTGTGAACGTAGACCGGGGACCAGCAAGATTGAGTGAATAACAGTTCTACGGGGCGTTTGTGCAACTGCAGCCTGAATGTGAAGCTCGAGAGGAGGGGTAATGACGGAGGAATAGAATGAAGGCAGGATCGTGTGCCGAGTGTCAGGAGGTATAAGATGCAACGGTCTCAATGGAAGAAAATTTGTAAGAGGATAACAGCAAGCTAAGTGAACCCAGGAAATGTGGACATGTTTGCTGATCTAGAAACTAAGTACTTGTTGGGCCAGAGTGGGGGCCAAGTTTTGGGAAGGTAAAAATTTTGTCGTCGAGGTAGCTAGCAGGGAGGCTAGTCGTTGAACTAGTTGAAACGGGTGGTGGTTTTTGGCTTACCATGACACAGGGTCTCCGTTGTGCAAAATAAGGGATGAATGTATGCAATGAAAGTAGACAAGTGAAAAGCGGACAAGTAAAAGCTTCCC